AGAGAGAGAGAGAGAGAGAGAGACGTAATTAATAGCAAAGAGGAATGGAAAAGGCGCAAAATGCTTACGCGCGATCTTTTTATCATGGTCATCGAGATGGTCAACTCGACATTCCCGATCTTGTTCCATCCTTTTCTTGCAATCTAGTTCTCCTCTTTCCGCCGCGGCATTATATCTTATTGCTTATACCTTCTGCTCCTTGATTTTCATCGTCGCGATGTAAGAAGCACCTTGCACGATGCACCGGATGCAACGTCTATAGACACGTTCGGTCGACAGAATTCTGGGAATTTTATAAAGGATAATAATAAAAGACAAGATTTATTCATATAGCGGTCTAGATTGACTTATTAATAAATTCAATCTATTATTTTAATCATTAATTAAGAGAACGTTTAATTTTCTCTTTCACTCGCTAGTCTCGCTACCTTGGATCTTTAATCTCTATTTAGGACGTCGCTCAATTGCATTCCGTTCGCAGACTATTATTCCGCGACCTTATTTCAGAACCCAATTGTCTTCGCTTCATAACTTTGCAACAAAGATGATCATCATCCAAAGAATTTGTTCTACAGTTCGGACATTAAGATTCCAGCGAAACAGTTTGCATTGTAAGGAGAAGTGATTGACTTTTTTGTTCCTCTTTCGCTAATAAGAAATCGTTCTTTTATTTCGTTATCGTAGCTGAATCCAGATATCTTCTTTCCGAACAATTTCAGAATCGAAGTTCAAATTGTTCTGTCGGAAAGTTCAAGTGCCGATTTTGAATTGGTCGGAACTTAATACTCTTTTAATGAAATTTCGTCATTCATTTTCACGATATGTCGCTGTGCGGAGAGATTTCTGCCAGAACATACATATAATAATAAATTGGTCTCTCTTCCTCTCTCTATCCCCGCCAGCTGTCCACTATCCATGCATTTCCCTCCTTCTTCCTGCTGTCTCCCTCCTGCTGTTCCCTTTCCTTCCGCGCTCTTATACTCCTCCTCTTCGTTCCGAATCGCGTGGCGAGGACGGAGGAGGCCCCGCTGCCCGACTGACCGTCCTCGGCGCCTCTTATACCTTTACTCCGGTCTGCGCGTTCTTCAGGGAACGTACGTGCCCGTTTCACGTTCCACTCGAGAGAGCGCGATATATATATATATATATATATATACCTCCCTTTTATAAAGTACGTATATACACAAACGACCAACAAACGGACATTGTCGACCTAATTGTCAGTGGTGCATCGCGATACTTTCAAGATAGCTGAATCGAGCTAAGGACTCGTTCACCAATAGCTGTCGACAATTTTCGAGACCGTTCACCGTTCATACGATCGTTTATCTCGACATACGGGCGACAAGTTCAGGCAAGACAGTGATATGGCACAACTGATCAGCGTCAAGCTGTCCAGGTTCGACGGATCCCCCTGGGGTTTCCGTTTGCAAGGCGGCAAGGATTTTGGCACACCGCTCATCGTACAAAAGGTGAGTCAATCTGGATCGTCTATTTGACCTTCTATTTTATGATGGGACTTTACGTCAGTTAATATTTATTTTCAAGTATTTTATCAATTGTGATACAAATACAAGCGATAACGTAGGTCTTCCATAAATCTCTTTTATAACTTATTTCTCCTGTCATCAAACTAGCGTTACAATATTCGTAACATTTTAAAAAGAATGTTTGATCATTATATTAATATATAAAATATATTATATAAAACGGATTTTAATAAATAATCTATCTACATATTATGTTATACGTATTTCAAATGTTAAATAATATCGTGCAATGACGAAAAAATATACATAACATTAACGATCGAGATTTAAATGCGATTTAAATATATTTTATATTTTTCTATGAGTTCTGCTGACAAATGCGCTTTCTATTTATAGACCTATTTATGCGTTCTGTCTTTTATCTCAATGATTGGCTTATTACATATAATGTTTCTTGAATATCATTGAATCATCATGAAAGAATCGCGAGAGACTTTTTGAGGGATTTTGAAGGAGCATTTTCAAGAAGCCACTTGAGTTGGATCTCAAGTTGACTGAGGCAGAAGCAGTAGTAAAAATATTTCTTGCAGCCGTTTATATATAGCGATGTTTTATATGGCTATTTTCATCTGCAGTTCCTTGTCGTTTGCTTCTACAACGTTTCTCGATAGTCGAATAATTCGACAGTAGAGAGAATCGGCCTCGATGTCATGAAATGCCGACTGTAAAATTAAGAGGTATTATATATATATA